CTCACAAATAATATTGACATTTTTCTTTCCTCCTTTTAACTAACTTTTTTGTGACTATAAAAGGAGGAGGCTTAAATCCGCCACATTGCTAGAACATCACCTTCCTTTTACAGATGAAGAATGAGCTTTCTAGATAAGTGAGCTGACTTATCTGAGGACATTTGACTAATAAATGATCAGATCAGGTAGAACTTCAGTGTCCTGACTCTGAGACAAAAGATTTTTTGTTTTTGTATATCTTAATAACCATGCTGGTATTATATTATTATTATTGTTATTTGTTTTGTCACTGATACTTATTATTGAATTGCCAACTTATGCAAGAACCTGATGAATGCTGTGTTTTTGCGTTGCCCTGTAACTGCAACACATATACAAAAAAGAATTCGTTAGTTCTTGAGACATTTATTGAGCTGTATCACTGAGCTAGATGCTGAGTTTACAAAACTGAACGAGACTGATACCTGCCCTCAGGAGGTCAAAGTTAAAAGAAGGAACAGGTACATAAACAGATAATTGCAATGCAGCGTGCCTGAGTGTCACATGAACTCAAAGGAGACATAGTTGAGTTGTCCGGAGGGTGAGACTGATTGAAGGGGGAGGAGAGAGAATGGGTTCAGGAATGCTTCATCTGAAAATACTTATGGGGCTGATGGATGTATTAGACAGAGGGATGCATAGATGGATACTTAGTAAAATATTAATTGTAGAATCTAAATAAGAGGTACATGGTTTTTCACTGAGCCAGGTCTTTCAACTTTTCTCTATGTTTGAAAAATTCTATAATAAAAGATTGAGAAAGAATCATCTTCATCTTTATTATAGCTATCATTCATTGAGTGCTTAGTGTGCCAGGCATTTTTAAGAGCTTTACATGATTTAACTCATCTAATTCCCATATCATCCATAAGATAAGCACTACCATTATCCCCATTTTATAGAAAATCAGGCACAGGGAAGTTAAGTAACTTGTTCAATCTCTATAGTTAGTAACTGGAGAATATCGGATACCAGGCTGTCTGACTCCAGAATTTTGACTCTTGACTTTGACTGTTGGAGCTACCTCTTAAATATTGGAAGGATTTTCTTGATAAAGGGGTTAGGGATGAGGAAGCATTACACCAAAAGAGAGAATATAATTGCATGGAAGGGGAAAATAGCATGGGTTTTTAAAGAAAGAGGAACAAATCCTGGTTGCCAAATGGAATATAAAGTGCAAATCTGTGAGCAAGGGAGGTCTTTGATAGGGGAACTTTATAAGAATGGGTAGTGTTTGGCTTTACTAGGTAGATAGTTGATAGGGATCCACTGAAAGATTTGAAAAAAGAGCCTGATGTGTTTAGATTTCTATTTTGAAATGGGCATTCTGGTATCAGTGTGGAGAATGGATTTCAACTAGGGCTTTTCATTTTTTATTTATTTGCAGGTGAAAAATACTACAACAAAATAGAACAGTTTAGAGATCAATAAATGGTACAAGTAAAAACGCCTGGAAGGAACTCTGCTTCCTTAATATAGAGTGCATTCTGCAGAAGTTGAAAGTGACCCTAATCTGACAAGTATACTATTTTTAGCATTAGTAGATACAAAGAAGGATGTCTCATTATTCAATTTAAGATATTAATAACTAGACTGATTTCCAGGTTTATCTTGCAATTTCCCTCTTCTCTTCAGAAAAAAAGAAAGTTTGTATTTTGCTCCTATCTTCATGTTTTCTGTGTCTTATTAGTCTCCTGAATAGCTTGATTAGTTGTTATTGGCCTCTGTTCTGAGAAAACGTCAGAAAGCTAATATCTCCTGAATGCATTCATTGCTACCACTCTCATGTTGTGTGAGAGATTTGAGTGAGTGCATTGAGATACTTAAAAATAAAAAAAAAGAAAAGAGAAGAAATTGAGAGATGAGTTGATTATACAGATTATTGACATTTAAGAATAATGTAACTATCATTATTATATAAATTGATTCAATCAAGGTTCCTCAATATATACCAAAACTACTCGATGAAAGGCTACTAGAGAAAATTATCTTTGTATGACCTCAAAGTATCTGCCAAACATCACTGACTAGTTGAAAAAGTCAAATAGTACCTGTACATTTATAACAGAGAAGTCTGAGGATCAAACTTAATATTATCAATAGGACAAATGAACAATCCCTGCCTTCTAGTGTAATATGCTGAAGATACAGTGTCACCTCTATGTAGTATTCTTGACAGAAATTTTGAATTAATCACAGAGAACCAATTAGAATAATTGAAATCGAGTGACACTCTGTAAAACAATGAGCCTAGGTTATTTAATAATGTCAATGTCATAAAAGACAATAAAAGATGGAGGGACTGTTTCTATGAAAGGAAAGCGTGTCACAAAAAAAAAGACAGTATGATTCTTGATTGGATCTAGGGTCAGAGAAACAGGAAGAAAAGAAAAACAAAAACCCACCTAGTTATAAAGGACCGGATGGATTGGGAACATTTGAGTGTAGACTACACAATAAATGATAGTTTTGTAGCACTGTTGAGTTGCTTGCATTGATACATTGTGTCATGGTTATGTAGATGAATGTTATTTATTTTTTTTGGAAAACATTATTTGGTGTATTCTTAGGAGAGTTATTTACATAGAAAGTGTCATGGTATCTGCTACTTCCTCTCAAAGGACTTAAAAAATGAGTATTACAGAGACAGAAGGAAGGAGGCAGGCTCCGAAGGGGAGAGAGAATACATTGGTTCTGGGTCAAATGCCAAAAGCATAGGGGTATTCATTGCACTATTCTTCCAACTTTTTTGTAAGTTTGAAATTTTTCAACAAACAACAACAACAACAAAAAATGGGGAGAGAGGGGAATCCAGATGGTCAAGTTGAAATTGAATAGCCTATAGGCTTATCCAAAATTAGCATATTTCATATGTTATTTTAGATCAATCCTGCCCAAAAATTTCAAGGTTAATACATTTGCTTTATTTGATAGCAACCTATTTTAAATTTTCAAACCTAGGTAAATATATCACTTAGCCTAAGGGTGGATGTATACTTTAAACTTGCACATGATTATGTGGCTATGTCACATACATTACATGAAGTTCAGATTACTAGAATTAAAGGTTGATTTCCCTATAGTTGACATTTGCTTTCAATGTTACTACATCATATAGATGAAAGAGAGTAGAAAGTTATGAATTTAGGAGGCAGAGGGTTTCTCTGAATAGAGCTTTTAAAATTTCTGCTTAAAGAGACGCTTGAACTCTGTGTTAAACTCTGACATACTTGTATTCTAAAATTAAGCCTTTCCTCAGTATCTGGGAATCAGCTGGGGAAAAAAACATTTACCCATTTTTTTTCAAAGCATGTAGGGAGAAAAGCAGGCATCTTATTCCTATGTTCACTCCATAAAATATATGTAACGGCAGGTTTTGCCCATTCTAAACAGACAATTTTTTTTTCTAATGTAACACGATGGTAGTCTTAAACAAATATAGAACATTTTAGATTTAGCTTTGTTTCTGCCAGTTTTCCCTCATTTGGACACCTCCTTTCTCATTTTGCTCCATCTGCAGAGTGTCTTAGGGGAGACTGTTTCCCTTTAAGAAACAAAGGTTATCTGTGACTCCCCTCGTGTAAAAGCCTGAACAAGGCTTTTTGTAGTTGATGGAAGGAATGCCAAGGAATAAAATAAAAAGCCCCTGCCATCTACCTAGCGCCTGCACTCCCTGGAGCCGACAAAAGAGCTCGGCACCAGAGCCGAAGAGTCCATGGAACACTGCTTTAGTGAAAAAGCAGATTATAAATAATAATGACCTTAGCGGATGATGAGAAACGCAGTAAAGTTTCTCTGAGCCAGACAGGATGATGTAGGGGATACAATATAAGTGCATAAAGTCTGGAAGGGAAGCAGATGCTGAGAGATTCATTTTCTTTCTCCAATAACTTAAATTGACAATGAATTTAGTAGGTGCTCAGTAAATATTTGTTGAATGAGAAAGTAAACAAAAGCAGTCTAACAGCTGATTTCCTAGTGAAAGTCCGTGGATCGAAATGTGTCAGCATTAAATCCCAACTCTGGGTTAAAACTGCATGTATTTCGGGAGTAAGATCAGAATCCTTACAGAAGAACATGTAAGAAGCTGGCCATCTATTTAGGAACAATTGTGGAGATAGAAAGAAAAAAATTAGATACATAGAATTACGTGGAGCTCAATTTATCTGGGAGTTGTGTTCATTACGATGGTAGGAGGTGGTGGGAGGGGAGAGCAAGAGAGGCTGGATTGAGACTGATTTTTCATAGTGCTATTTGATTTTGCGAGAAGCAGACTTCTGGTGAGCAGAGGGCCGTCTTGGCTGTGTTCTGACTTGACTTTTTTTGCTTAGTGATCATGCCTCTAATCATTTGTTCTAAGGCTCATGTTTGTTTGCATCACTAGACTTGGAATTAGAGGACTTTCTTGGCTTTTGAACTAGCTTTTTGTGCTGAATATGGTAATTTATTGTGAAAGCGTACTGAAAAGTCTAAAATAACTTCCAAGGCAAAACAGTTTAGTATAGCTACTGCTGCTATATCTAGAGCAACACCATTTATACTCGGTCGGTTTTTAATCTCAGCAGTCAGTTCTTAGGGATTCTAACTATAAGAACCCCATCACGCTTCCCTGGGGCCAGGGTTTCTTAAATGTGGCACTGTTGATAATTCTTTGTTGTGAGGACTGTCCTGTGCATTGTAGGGTGTTTAGCAGCCAGTAGCACACCCCTCCCCTTCGAGTTGTAACAACCAAAACTTAATCTTTCAAAACTTTCTGTTTTTGTTGGAAGAAAAATCAGAATCAGCTGAGGAGAAGTATTTTCACTCCCTTCTTGGATGACAAGAAAGTTGGCTTGTGTTCTTTAAGCATTATAATAAGAAGAAGTCAGTTCTACCCCAAAAAGTAAAAAAGAAGTATCACTCATAAAACAATTTGAAAACAATTTGTTCTCTTTCTCTTCCTCCCTCATTTATCTCTCTCTCTCTGTCTCTGTCTCTCTGTCTCTCTCTCTCTCCCCACATGCACACACACACAGACCCCTCGAATTGATAGACATTTTTTGCTAGTAGTGATGACAAATTTCTGAGAAGTTAGTGGTAGATAAATATGAAAGCACATTGCACTCTTTATCTAGCTCACAGGTCAATTTTATGTCATTTTGACATAATTTTTAATGGGCTATTTTCTCCATATACTTTTAATTTTGTGACCCTGGTCTATGTTGGTCATTGTTGTTAGAATCTGATTGCCTCCTGGAAAAATGAATATGGCTACACACTTTCTCGTGTGTATCACACTTTTGGCTTACTTCTTGGTTGTTTTATTACTGGCTTCACTGCTTCTGCTTGAAAAAGAAAGTCCATAGATTGGCATTCTAGTGGGTGCCTTGGGCAGCAATTTCTGAACCATACCTTCTTTTGAAATTTTGTTCCCAGCTGGAGACATGTCACAGTTGTCTCAGCTTTTGACTCTGACTTTTAGTGAGAGATGCAAAGAATAGGAAAATATGAACACTTTCTAGAAGAAGCAGTAAGCAATTGTATGCACATCTGTTGACTTACTGCTCAAGATTCCAAAGCATTTAAAAATATTGATTAAACTTCAACCTGTTGGGAAATTGTTGCCATAACTTTCATTTTGCCCCTAGATTTGCTGAGGCTTGGAGCTGTGCTTCACTTGCTGAGTCTTGTATTATGGCCAGAAAGAGACCTCAGGAGCCCCATTCCCCAGGTTCTTATTAGCCTTGACAAGAGTGTTGTTAAAATTGCAGGCTCCTCACAGTCACAAAGAGATGCAGTTTCTTGCCATTTCAATGCAAAATCTAAAACAATCTATATATTTTGCCTTCTGAAATACATTCTTGGATAATATTAATAGATCAGGCTCTGCTGTCTTTGAGAAGACAATTTCTTTTGTTTGCAGTTATTAATCATGTTCTTTTTCCCCCTTCTCTTTGCTGTATTTATTTTGACTTTAATGTTGGCTATAACTTTAAACAAACAAATGAAAAACCCAGACATTTTGCAGATTTAAAGTTTTATTGTGAACCACTACTTATTTTAAATGGTATGTCTCAGGGGAGAAATATATGGAGAATTGTTGGAAGTTCAAAATTTTTAGTTAGTAATTATCACCTACCATTAGAAACAAGTGCAAATCACATGATGTTAAAGTGAATCTATCACATACTATAATCAAAGATTAATCAAAGTAATTACCAGGCAAACAGGGATTGAAAGAACTTAAAACCAATTAAACTATTTATTTCATCTGTACCACTGAATAAACACTTTAGTATTTTAATTTGCTCCTCTTTTTATTTGCTTCAGCAATATGTTTGCTAATATGACTGAGATGCACAATTGCTATTTAATTAACCTATTTTTGTCAGCACCTCACATGAGCTGTGTGAAGTAGATGTGTCAAAGTCTCAATAATAATGAGCCAGGTAAAAATAGCAAACATGAAATTTGTGCTAGTCATTTTACAAGGTATGACGCATTGCAACAATATCCAAGGAAAAAAAGAAACAGGTTTACTATATAGAAATTGGATTGAAGATACTTACAATGTTGAAGCATCACAAAATTACTCAAAAATTTAGTAAATTTTTTTAAAACATATAATTGCACTGTTTCTTTATTCCTCACTTTGCATATTGTTACTATTAACTATTGATAATAAATCTGCTTGGGGCCATATATTTAGTTTGGAATAATTGAGTTGATAATGGGCAGGGAAGGGTTTGGTAGAATTTATCTTTTACCAGATCACATATCCTTTGGGAGAGCCACATTTGTAGTTATTGAGCAAGGCATCATGAAATTGTTGCTCCATTCCCTTTTTTATTCCCTAAGACCAGTATCAAAACCTTAAGACAGTGTGGATGGTCTTGACCTCGACAACACATTTTTCCACAAAATATAGCATAACTGACCATGTGAAGAGAAGCCCCACCTTTCTCTAATTTGGGGAAGTATGATGCAGTGATCCAAGTGAAACATAAAATACTCTTTCCACACAGAATTCCAGAGCTCTAGTGATTGACACCATGAAGACAAAACATTCTCATTAGACTTTTGGCTCTACCTATAGACGTTTTACTCTCAGGTAGACAGAGTTCGTGTGCAATTATAGATAAAATCATTTTGTGCCCAACCTTTCTTCTTTTTTTCTACACATTTAAATTTTATTCACACTTACTGAACATGATGCTTCCAGTTCTCTAAAACAGCTGCTTAGCGGCCAATTGATCATGAGCCCCCAAAGGTAACAGAGAACCCCTCCCCCTCCAATTTGGGCCAATCAACAAAGCATAACTTTATTTCATACCCATTACCCAAGTTGCTGTTATTATGAGGTGTAAGCACCCTTTTAATGGAGGGATGCTAATAGAATGTCACGTACAAGGGTCCTCAGAGATCCGGACCAAGGCTCCTATTGTGCAGACCAGAAAACCTAGACTCAGAAAAGTGAAGTGTCGTATTGTAGACCACCTGTTTTTTGCAGCAAGGTGAAGGTTAGAATTCATACTTCTGACTTTCTCAGTGCTCGCCCTTCTTTATTACACAGGTTCTTTATCTACTAGCTGTTCATATGTAGTAGAACTTTAATCACATGGGAGCCTTATTTATCGGGTACATGTTATATTTTGTTACATGCGCAGACTGTCCAGTGATCAAGTCAGGGTACATGGGATGTCTGTCACCTTGAGTATTTATCATTTCTTTGGGTTGGGAACATCTCAAGTCCTCCCTTCTAGTTATTTTGAAATATACAATACACTGTTGTTAACTATAGTCGTGCTGCTCTGCTACCGAACATCAGAACTTACGCCATCTATCTAATCATAGCCTTTTAATGAGTGACACAGGAGCTGAGTCTTCCTTTTTCTGAAATGGAATGTTTTATATCCCTAACCCAGACTTGCCTAACTAAGGTCAAATTTACATAAATAAATGTCTTCGGGGGCCAGCAGGTAGCACATCTGGGCAAAAACGAGTGTGGCAACGTTTTGATAAAGTGCAGAACACATTCTGTTTGAAAACATTCACATTCAAATTTTATCATCTCTGTTGCCAAACTAAGCATGTCCACAGGCTACTAGTTTGTAACTCCTGCCTGCAACACCATGCAGATGGAGTGGAGTGTTCTTTCAGTTATGCAAGGAGAATCCACATCACCAGCTCCTTTTAGAATGTTAGATGTCCCAAGTACCGAGCCAAACCCTCTGCCCCGGACTTCTAATACTCAGTGAAGAAGCACATTCTGGGGGGGCATATAAAATGCCTCCATAGAGACCAGCTGTAGTCCAGCCAATCTCCCGGGAGAATCAATCTGAAAAGAATAGACACGTGCACATCACATAAAATCCATAGGAAAAACCATGCTGCTGCCTCTAACCTTCCTGGGAGATGCTGAGAAACCCTAACAGACAAACCAAATCACAGGGCAAGCCCACCATGCGTACGGAACAACCAGCGTAATTATGTGCTGTGGTTGAGGAATTACATAAATTGCCCATTGGGAAAGAAGCCTTAATCTCCACCCCTCCCCCGAAACCTCTGAACAGCTGCATGAGTCTCCGTGTATTTTCGAAAAGGTTGAACACATTTGATCGGAGAACCAACTTCATTTCCTAATCAGGTTGGATGTGAGGAGAGCCAGTTTAGAGATGTGTGCGATTCTCCCGGTGTGCGTCTTTGATTCATGTGCTAATTATGTCGATCCTTTGGGGAACGCAGCCAGGAAGCTGGGTCCTCCTTGATTAATGCTGGCAGAGAGCCATGCAGCGCGCAGCGGAGAGCAGTTCAGCATCTCTAGTCCCAGCTGAGAATATGGTCCCATTATCTCCCAGCTGCCTAAGCAATCCATAAGGGCCTGTTCTGCGTGGATGATCAGTGTAGTGGAAGCAGGGGCTTGCTGAGAGCAGGAATCTCTGTTTGATTTGCTGTAACATGTAAAGCGAAACTGGGACATTTTACTTTACAGTCTGTAAGTACCAGGTTTTCTTCCCCCCCCCCTTCTCCCTACAGCTCCATGTGAATGTGACTTTGCAAGCTGCATTTGATTTTCTGTTCCATTGCTCTTTGTTGAATCAAGCTGGTGTGATAAGAGTATAATCTGTTTGGAGCTTGCTGTTTCTGTCAGATCTCTTACATAATTGATTCATACAAGGGAATAGGGGGTCTTTCTGAATGCTTTTATAGAAGTTAAAAATTATTGGCTTTGTTTTTAATTTGGGAGCATGGTTGCACTATCTGTGGTGCCCAGGGAGATTAGAGGATATATGTATCTTCTTCTGTACCTATGGCTGTTGCAGGACAAATGTAAGTAAGACGAATGTATGCGTGAAGAGATCATCTTACATGCACGTCTGTACAAAAGAAGCATGTGTCAGTATTTCCAGGATTTAGGATAGTTTATTTTGCTGCTCTCTGCTGCCACTGAGAAATACAGAAACGGAAAAGTTTCTCTTGTTTTTCAGTTGTATGCTGTTTAGAAACTTTGCCGGCAGGGGGGATGACTATTAGGAATATTTGCAAATATAACTGTACATCTTTTTTATTTATTTTAAGGGACAGTGTTTAAAAATAAAAATCTGTGTTTAGTCCATTATCACTTTGAATGCATGACTTTTAAAGAAATGATGTGAATTAAAAAAAATAAAATAAAATAAAAAAAGACACTCCAAATCTGGTTTATTTATCTTTTATGTGTCCGTCAGTGCCATCTATCAAATTAATATTTGTTATTCATGCAAGATGAATTGATCATAAAAATGCTATTAGAATTTAATATTGCTAATAATGTTTGCATGGTGTCTTTCAAATGATCAATGCCTTGGTGAAATTAAAGATTGTTATCACTGTGGAAAGGGATTTGTGGATGGTTGTGTCTGGGTTTCCCTAATGTAAATATAAATCACTCATTTCTTCTTGGATTGAAAGTAGAAAAATTGAGCTGTTTTAAAAATACAATTTGAATAAAAGTGGCTTGAACCACTTGAACCAGTGGCCAGTGTTGATGTGGACCAAAGTGAACTTAAAATCATTCTGATCTGAAAGGGGGAATTGAAGTTCCCACACAGAGCTTGAGACCATGGAGCCTGAGGATCCCATAATTTCCAGGGTGGAAACACAATTTCCCTGAATAGGCAGGAAGTGTCAAGGCAGAGAAAAACCACAGACTGTGAGGTATGGAGGCATCTCACTGGTGAGGACGAAGTATGTTCTCGTTAGATTTGGTTGAGAGGAACAAGGCAAGACAGAGAAGACTCAGAATAGACGGTTGTCTCCACGAGCACAGACATTTTCAGAGCTTGAGATCTGGAGGGGAAAAGATCATGAAGCATTAAAAAATGCTGATGAGATGAAGTGAAAGGGGGACAGCTGTGGTACCTCAGAGTAGCCAACAGTCCCGGGGCCGTTCTTGCCAAGAGATCTGTTCTCTGGAAAAAAAAAAAAAGTAAGTGTGTGAGTAGGTCTGACCCTGAAATGTGAAATAGCAGCAAGTGGTTTTGATGGTTGTATTTACCCTAAAGAATGCCCTCATGCCTTCTTCCAAGACTACGATGTCTTTTGTATGTGATGGTCTCCGAGGTTCCTTAGCTATATTTTAAAATGATTGTTGGTGTTTTTCTGACCAGTGCACGTGCATGATCTTGCCCAAGATGTGATCCTGTTTTCAGATGATGACAAGAACAGAAATAATAGGGTTCGTTAAGGTCCAATTATTTTTTTAAAACAAATGTTTAATTTGTTTCTACCTAATTTAGTAAATACTGTGTTCTTTTGAACTCTAGTTTATTTTTGCCAGGTTCTCGAATCTCTTTATTTGTATTTTGCGGGAACTTTTGCCTTCTGTAGAGGAGTGTTTTCCTGATGTAGTTAAATTTGCTGTTTGTTCTCCATTCAAACATTTGGAAATTTCAACCCATCTCTTATGATGTTAAAACATTTTTGTAGCTGGTCACCACAAAGCTCAGAGAGGTATTTGCAAGATTTTCAGTGTGCTCCTATTACTTTAGAAATGTTTTGATTATTTTGTAAAATCGGGACACTTGTCTCCCTAGTTGTGCTTAATCTGTAGAAAAGGGGATTGAACCCTCCAAGGGTTAGTTTAGGGTATGGTCTCTTGACAGATGGGAAAGCCAGATGGGTGTTACATATACCTCGTAAGAGGTACTTTTAAAGCCATGATGATTTTTATTGGTCTTCGAAATAAATTTAAAGTGCTATGAAAGCGAATAAAGGAAGAGTCCTGCATTGCATATGTAAAGATAGTGTATCTAGGTATGTGTTTACATGCATGCAAATCCACCCGACAACCTTGTAAACAGTTCCTGTGCTGCCCTACATACTGTGCCCTCTCAGCTCCTAGGAGGTGCTGGGGTTGAGCAAAGTGGAAAGAATCCTGTGAATAGGGACATTTCAGCAGAGCGTAAAGCCTCCTGACATTCTGTGTTTTGGGCCCTGGGCAAACTGTTTTGTCTGCCCCCCCAGAGCTGCTGGGCTAAGCACAAAGGGGACTTTGTACCACCCACCCTCAGCCACATCTGTAAGCAGGTTCTCTTTGCACGCAAATTGCACTCTAGCCCTTCTTAACAGGTAGGGGTCAGCCAGTGTGAGGCCAGGAATGAAGCTCTGTGATCTCTCTCCACGGTAAGTTAAAAGGTGAATCTGGTTGAATGAAAACTAATTTAATAGCCCTGATAATTTTGGATAATCTTAAATGCCAGCAAGCCTCGACTATGCATTGTCAAAGTGTACAGTCTGTAAGTTATCTCCAGTAATGGTAGGAGCTTTGAGCTAACCTACTTTAAGTTGCTGTACAACCTTTACCAAGCTGCTTTACCTCCTGTGCCTTGATACCTGCCCGTCAAATGAAACATGATTTCTAAGATCCTTTATAGATGGGGAAAGTCTGCGATCTCATGACTCCTCATTCTAACCTTTTACTCACTCCTGAAAAGTCTTTCAGTTTGCCTAGGAACTGGGTGAAATGTGATGTAGTGTCATCCTAAACACTAGGATGTTTTCTTTTTTTTTTCTTCCTCCATTTCTCCATTTGTTTCTTCTTCCCCTTTATCTTCTTTTCTTCCCTCCTTCCCTCCTTCTTTTTCTCCTCCCCTCTCCCTTTCTCTCTGTTCTATTCTCTTGTTCTCCTCTCCCTCTCTCCCTTTTTCATCAGTAAGTTGTTCCCAAATCAAGCTTAACTTTAGAAACAAGGTTGGGAATGTCTGCTCTTTTGCAAAACCTGTTCACTACTTTTTTCTTATGAGAATCCCTTGACATATACATGACATGTTGATATACTGTTCTTTTATGTATTACAGTTACTTAGCCCTAGGCATGTGTGTGTAGAGAGGACCCTGAAAGTTATAGGCATGTACCTATGTGAGTATAGATTGCCCATGTAATTTTTAAAGAGAATTATGTATCTTATATTCTACATTGAAGGTAATTAAGTAGGATTCATCCTAATGTGGTAAGTTAACAATGTTTAATTTAAAAATAAAACAAGAAAATTCATAAATGACAGTTCATTTCAACATAGTAGGATAGTAAAGAGCTTGATTTTTAAAAATAGGGGAAAAAAGTATACCAGTTTTCCCCCAAGAAATTATTGTCTTGGTAAACAGCATGGAAAAATCAAATCCATAAATTATTTCATTAAAAAATGCATACTTGACAATATAGTCAAGTTAGCAACTGTTTGGAACTTAAGTGGACTAAAAATATTTCATGGAAAATTTTCTTTATGATATATATATTTTTTTATAATCTCAGAACTGTTTATTGCTAGATAAGTCTCTTAGTTAAATAAAACAAATACTGAAGTTATTAAACCTACCATGAATGATTCTGGTGCTAACTTGATAAGCTCAAACCAAATTGTGAATAAACTTCATTTGAGCATCTTTATGGCAAGTACTGGAAGAAGCTAAATTCATTTCAGAGTTTATATTTGTAGTGCAAAGATTGTAGTGCTTTTTGTTTTCTTAACTATTAGATGAAATAAAAATATGCATTGGCTGGATAGCTGGGAATGGCACAAAAATTGCAAGTTAATAGCGTACAATTGAAACTGTATACATTGAAAAAAATTTTAACATCAAGTATACTCTAAGCTGGATGCTAAGTGACCATTTGATGACAGTAATCACTTATATTGGCTCCTCTTATTTCAGATCAGGTAGTGTTATGACAGCTTTTAAATCTTAGTTGGAATATTCATTTTTTATCTCAGTTTTTACCGTTAGGAAATCTCGGTCCTTGTGTCTTACTATTCTGGAGTTTGAGTATTAATGTTTTTCGTTATTGAACTTGTAGACTGTGCTTGATGTGACCCATGTAGAGTATAAAGTTAATTCTCCAAATCTCTTAAAACTGGGTAGATATCCCGGCTTTTTAGGCAGCAGGCCTGTTGGTTGTAAGTAGAATCAGTTATGTGGAATAATTCCTCTATTTTATAGTTGTGCATCCTCCTATGAGCAAAATTATTTTATATTTACAGACTATTTCAATGCAAAATATTTAATGGCAACAGATAACATTTGATAATTTGTGGCTCTCCAATCCTTGATTATAAAGTTACCAGGCAGCTTCAGGGGTACTGCTCTTGGTTCTAATCTAGTACCTCTGATGACTCGAGAGGTCCAATCCAATATGATTTAGTTAATAGCTCTAGTGGTTTACCAGACTCTTTTATTGTGTAATTAAAAAGATAAAGCCGCCATCGGACATAGACTTGGCTCCAGGTTTTGCACATTGTTTTCACATGTCTTTGCCTCTCTTTCCAAAGTGGGAATATCAGGTCTTCTGCATTTTAGCATGACGTTTTCTCTGTTTTTCAAGGGAAGAATAGGAAGGTTTAATATCGAGAGGAGCATATCAGGAAGAGCTGCAAAGGAGTAAAGTGTTTCTTATGGTTAGATATAAAACGCAGAGCTACACATTCTGAAGATATGACAGAATTTAGAGAAGCTGACTGTGCCAGGCATTTGGCAAAGGGGACTAAAGGAGGCAGATTTAAGGCTTTCCAGAAGGAAACCCTATATCAGTGGATAGAAATTTGAATGCCCTGCTAGCAAGCAAGCAAAAAAAAAAAATGTAAATAAGGAAGTAGAAAAACGAGTATATTGTGGTTAGAAAAGACGTGGCTTCGTGTTGCAAAGGAAAATTGTGGTGAGTGAGTGAAATATATCAAGCGTAAGGGCACTGAGATGAATTCCAAAGTAGTTGGCGTAGGTATTGCTAAGTTACTGTGAAATGATTAACAAATTTGGATCAATGAAGAGATACAGAGAGAAAGGAGTGCTGTTGGC